ATATCTGTTTATTTGGTAAATGTTGCATTTATTTCACTTCAGCTGTGGTATAAGCATGTAAACACCACGTGAGCGGTCACTATACGGGAACCAGAAATTGTCCGACTTCACGTCTCCGTTTGTAGCTCCTCCGCGCCTGCACGCGGCTGTTCTCGCCGATCGGTTGCATCCAGCCGCAGGCGATGTCGAACACACCTATTGTCTCGATATGACGCTGACATCTTGGGACCTGAGTCTGCGCACTTGCTTGTTTCGGGACCGGTCGTGAGCAGGAAGTAAAGCCGCGAAATCAAGGGCGCGCCCTCATTCTCGCTGAATCAAACGCAAGCACACGCCCCGCACTTTCATTAATGTCCTCTGTCTGCTTCGTTCTTCTCCAATGATGTCTGCTGATTGCAAAACCTCGTTAAAATAAGGTAAATACAACTACTAACCACATAATCAACATTATTAAAAAAAGTCCGCTGGTGCTTTCAGTCACTACCTCGCACAGAGAACCTGTCAATCACAGCTGTCAATCATGATGTCAGAGCACCATTTTTATCATCACATAACTAACTAAAAACAAACTTATTTTAAAAACGAACACTTGAAATTACATCAACGTGATAAAAACTACAGTAAATGACAGAAACTATCTTTGGAAAAAGCATATGTGAAGTGTAATTTAATTGTTTAGTTGGTCTCGCGTCCCATTGAATAACATGGGGAGGCGGGGGTTATGAGCTATACTAGGACCGGTCACAGGGGGGGCGATCGAGACGTTTTGGCTTCACTTTTGAGGGCTTGTGCGGCACGCTTGGTCCACACTAATACGTTTTCGTTTGAAAACGTATATTTTTCTCTCCGTTTTGGCCTTCCGTCCACACTGAGACGCCGTTTTAAGTCAACAAAAATGTATCGTTTGGAAAACGCTCTCCAAAGTGGATAAATTTGAAAACACTGTTTTCGCGTTGTAGTGTGGACAGTGAAACCGGTGTTATGGATTTTCTGGTGACCATGTTAACTGGTGACCAACTTCCTATCTGCTCATCCGCTGCAGCAGATTCGTCGATTCTGAAAGCACAAACTAACGTGATATTAGCGGTCTAATTAACGCAGACTTGCTCGTTACATGTGTTTCTTATTGTAAAGATGACAAAGTATTGCTATGATCTAAAAAAGAAAAAGAAAAAAGAGCCATATTTCCATGGGTTTCGAACGTGCGCAGAAAAGTGATCGCTCCGTGAGAACACCGTGATAAACATGTTAAGCCAACCCGATCGTAGGAATTTGTACGAGTGAGGTCGTATGAATTCGCCTTATTCACGGCAGCGCCATCTTTGATTTTTAATGAGAATGAAAGCGAGGCTGTGAGGGATAGACTTGCATCTCTTCAATGGGCTGTACTGTTATTTAATGTGTTTTTGGATTGTTCTGCTCATGAAACACTGGATATAACACTGGAAAAATATCTTTCCAAGAAATGTCAGTTGACTAAAAACTCCCGACAATGTAAGCTGTGGAAAATTGTAAGTAATCTAGCCGCTTTATTCAGCTTTTTACAGCGGATGCCATTGGAAGCACGGTAAGTCTATCCCTTACAGCCTCACTCTCATACCTGTCATGGTGCTGCTCTGAATAAGGTCTGTTAGTACGAATTAGCCACTTTTGAGTCACTCGTACCAATTCGTACGAATTGGTCGTGAGATAGCGTAGGTTGAGCCGTCTCACTACTACACTATCTACAGAACGTTGGAGTAAATTTCTCGGCGTCACTTTATGCAGCTGCGCGAATCAAAAGAATGTGCCCGTGTTAACTAACCGTGTGACCTTGTGTGTTTCTTTACAAAAACTCACCATATCGTTATTTTAGAAAATGTATACTACAGTAAGCTACTGCTATGGTTAAACTAGTTATTAATGAAATACATATTTAGCTTTATAAAATTTGCAATGATTTGGAAATTTTGGATTTGGTTTGGAACAACTTGAGGGTGAGTAAATAGTGACAGAATTTTCATTTTTCGTGAACTAACCCTAATATGTGTCAGCAGCATTTTGATTGTTCATTTGAAATATATTTGGATAAATAAATGACATATTTTAGTTATAACATTGCAGAAATTAACACGGACACATTGCCTTGAAAATGCTAAATGTCTTCCCAGATTTATAGCACTTGTGAACAATGTTTTAACTGGGAATATGTTGGCCAGTGCTTGTGTTACAAAATAGTTGTACTGGCACCAATGTTATAATGCAATCACATGTAAAATGAACTACAGCTGCATATATTTTCTTACAGCAAAATTCTCAAAAAATGCAGAAACCTATTTAAGTGGTTTAAAGGATTTTAGGGGAAACGTGGCGTGTCACTTACAATTATTAGACATTTTTCATGGCCTTTAATGTTCTTTTTAATGGCCTTTATAACAAACAATTGGAACCCACAGTGTAAATTATTTGCATTATACATGTAGTATTGGATACATACTAACAAGAACACTCTTGACAATGTACTGCTACATCACAACATAGACTTACTGGTTATTTTGGGACATCCTTCCTTATATACATTACCACTGTTTCAATACAGTGTGTATTTTTTTTTTGTAAATGTATGATTAAACCATATCGTTTAACCTAGTCATTGACTGGAAATTGTGAATTAACACGTTTCTGAAATGCTAAAATTGTTTTCACACAATTACAAATGCTTAAACACAGCATGTCAGAAATTCATGTTCAAGGCTGTAGTTTAAAGCATACTTCAGCAACAACAGGAGCTCAGAGGTACTGAAAAAATGCTTACTTTTGAGACACCTGATAAGCAGTTTTAGATAACACATCAGTGAAATATTGAGAAATCCCACTCTCAGTCGGAGACATCAGGTGTTGAAGTTCTTTACATTACTTGGACACACACAAAGCAGTGTTTGAATTGCTTTTGTTAAGCGTGGATGCACAACAACACAGAGAAGCAGAGAGAGAAACACCTGAGTAACAGACATAGGTTAAGAAGGAGAGTCATAGATGGATCAGGACAATGGATAAGAACAGTTGAAGGGCAGGAGTAAGAATGTGTGCCAGACTGCAGCATCTTTATGTTTTTCCCCCTTATGTGGAACCTGCGTATTACTGAACATAAAAAAGGGTAATTAATTGTATATTTTTTCCTCACATTTCAGACTGTTTTTCACTCAATTCCTATTTTATGTCTCCCATTCCGCCTTTTGTATGTTGTTTTTCTTTTCGCCGGGAGAAAAAGTGGGATTTTTGAGATAAAATTCACTATTAGCCTACTATTTTTTTTTTTATTCATGGCGGGAAATAGCTTCCAAAGTAACCAAAGGCCATTTAACATTTAAGTTCGATTTGTAGTTGATCAAAGGCAGCAATGTTATGTTTTCATTTAGGTCAAAGCTTAATGTAAAGCTTTTACTACACTCACTCCAGTACCACTTTTCCCACATGCAGAATATGCTGTCTATGTAGGGCACAAACTAAGGGGGCACCATCAACACCCATATGGCCTTGTCAACACTCCGACAACACCCCCAAAAAGCAGGTTCGGACTGTACATTCAGGCAATGACTCATTTACTTTCAGATAGTATGTTGTAAAGCTGCACATATTAAATAGTCAACAAACAATTTGAGATTAAAGAAAAGAGGCTTAAAGAAAAGGGGGAAAAGAAAGGAAAAATAACAAAACTATGGATTTTGTATCTTCTGCAGAAGTGAAACAAGACTTTTAGTGCAGTTTTCATAATGCCATGAATTGTTTTTGTTTTCAACACACATTGTGCTTTGATTGAGTAGCTTATAGTCATGATGAATCGGAAACTTGAGTTTTGACAGACTAATTCCATTTTGAGTTGGGTTTGCTATATTTTAATAGCTAGCTTATATAAGCATATATATTACAAAAAATATTGTTCTAACTGTAATGCAGGTGTGTTCGTGTAAAGAAACAAAAGTAGGCTGTTTGACCTTAATGGAATGTTTAAGAAAAGGTACTTTAATTGATTTGCTTGTTATCAATTGTCCAAAAAATTTAATTGTTTACTCACAATAATAACATGTAGTATTTTGACCTGAGAATAAACTTGACATTCCAAAAACTGCTATAATTACATGACATAGCTGGCAAGTGAAGTCACCTTTACAATGTGATCTTTATAAGCATCTACAATGTTACATTTCCATTTCATTCAGTACAACAAAGACAAAGTAAATTAAGTCACACATGTTTCTAAATTTATTTTAGGCTAAAATAACATCGAAAGCAACATGTAAATAAAGTTTTTATATTAATCACCTGAGACATGAGCTATGACGCCACAGAACCATGTTTTCATTAATAACTAGTTTAACCATAGCTGCTATACAACTGTACAATAATGTACAATAAGGCACAATAATGTACCATTATCTGACTATAGAGTCAATTTAGGCTATGTGCTTTGAAATCATAAACCATGTAGCTTACTGTAGTATACATTTTCTAAAATAACGATATGGTGAGTTTTTGTAAAGAAACACACAGAGGTCACAAGTTAACACGGGCACATTCTTTTGATTCGCGCAGCTGCATAAAGTGACGCCGAGAAATTTACTCCAACGTTCTGTAGATAGTGTAGTAGTGAGACGGCTCAACATGTTTATCACGGTGTACTTTTCTGCGCGCCTTCGAAACCCATGGAAATATGACTCTTTTTTTATTTTTATTTTTTAGATCATAGCAATACTTTGTTATCTTTACAATACGAAAGACGTGTAACGAGCAAGTCTGCGTTAATTAGACCGCTAATATCACGTTAGTTTGTGCTTTCAGAATCGACGAATCTGCTGCAGCGGATGAGCTGATAGGAAGTTGGTCACCAGTTAACATGATCACCAGAAAATCCGTAACACCGGAGGTATTTCAAAACGATGACGTAGGTTTAGTCATGTGATCCATGTAGTACCAATAGATATTCATGTTTATCGGTGTTGTGCCTGTTATGTGTTATTCATTTTTACACTATTGCTAAAATATGTTACTTTCTATGATACTTGTAGCGAAGTCCCACTACAATTAAAAGTTCCGCTGATTGAGGCGGACAAATATGGATCAAATTCCGATTAGAGAATTGAGGAGTGAAGAAGAGATTCTTGGTTATGAGACATTTATTCACAATCTTGAATATGCATCTGGGTTTGCATCTGTGCTTGTATATGGTCTACAGAAAGGAATAAAAAGAAATAATTACAAAAGTATTCCACTTAAATGTCAATATTAAACATGAAATAAACGGAAATACAATAGTACTCAACATAATACAATGCTGTAAACAAACACTCGCGCTTTATCGGAGCAAAACGCCCGCGCTACTAGTGATGACTCATCAGATTAGCTCGGCAGATTACAGCCAAATAAACGGTAAATCCAAGCAATATAAACATAGGAAATCACCAATCACATGCACTACACATACTAATAAAATATAGATGTGCACTTACGTGTATTGCATGAACGCATTTACACAGAACAAAACCATCAGCATAACCGATAATTTACTTTCATTTTCTACCGGGTGCGTTACTAATAACGGAACGTGCAGGAAACAATAAACAAACATTAGTTCCTAGAACAGGGTTTCTGACATTGCCGCCCCAATTATCTGTCAAGATAATTAAACACCCTAAGAAAGCCTGTCTGAAGTGTCGATGTCGGAGTCCTCAAGACGAGGAAGCGGGATGAGTCGGACAACTGGACGGGTGTAAGTTTTATCCTTAACTTTGACTCTGGCGATACGGACTCTGCCATCAGCCCCAACCAGGGTCTCAATCACAGTGCCGACAGGCCAGAGCGCCCGTGGAAGTTGTGGATCGACAATAAGCACTACTTGACCAACTGTCAGTTCTTTGACATCCGTCCTCCACTTTTGACGACATTGCAAGCCTGGGAGGTAATGGCGAATGAAGGCAGTCCAGAAACAGTCAGCCAGGACCTGACTGTGTCGCCATCTCCGTCTTCCAAGCAAGTTGTTAGAGTCGTACAGGACCTGAGGTAGAGAGGCATCACGGCGACCCATAAGAAGCAAATTTGGAGTCACTGGATCCAAGTCTGCAACATCTGAGGATACATAGCCAAGTGGCTTGGCATTTAAAATGCTCTCAACTTCCACCAGAAGGGTTTGTAGTACTGGTTCTGGGACTGACTGCTCTCGAAGGATTACCCGCAGTGCTGTCTTGACTGATTTTACCTCACGCTCCCAGGTTCCCCCAAAGTGAGGAGCACTCGGTGGATTGTGTCGAAACCGGATTCTCTGCTCAGCCAGCAGCTCCTGGAGCCTTGGTGACATAGCAGTGAAGGTCTCTTGTAGTTCTCGATTACCTCCAACGAAGTTAGTGCCATTATCGCAAAGCAGTTCCATGGGCTTGCCTCGTCGCGCTATCGACGCAAAGAGAGCAGGAATGCGTCAGTGTCCAAATGCTCTAATAGATCCAGATGAACACACCATGTCGTCATACATTTGTAGATTATCCCCCATCTTTTCTCCTGGCGGCGACCAACTTTAACTGCAAATGAGCCGAAGCAGTCCACACCAGTAGAATAGAATGGTGGCTTAAACAGGTTCAGCCTGCAGGGCGGTAGATCAGCCAATCGTGGGGTTTGTGGTTTGGCACGCCACCGCTGACATTCTTGACTGATGTGCTGATGTTTACGAATGGCTTCTCTGCCTCGAAGTACCCAGTACTGGCGACGAAGTTCAGCTAATACCCTTTCCGAGCCTGGGTGAAGGAGTCGCTGATCAGCCTCCTTAATTAGCAGCTTGGTGATAAGATGGCCAGGGTCTAACAGAATCGGATGTATAGTATCCAGGTCAAGGTCACTCGCACAACGTAGCCTTCCACCCACTCTAATGAGACCAGTGTGCCCATCATACTCTGGGGCAAGAGAGCTCAAGCGACTGTCAGCTGGAACTGACTGTCCAGCCTGTAAGGCCTTTACTTCAATTGGGAATGAATCACTTTGGGCCTGTGCCAGGAGGAGCCTCTCTGATTCAATATAATCAGAAGCCCCGACATGAGTGTCAGTATCTGCGCTGGCCGTCCCGTGCAGGGATCTAACAGTAGCCTGCACAAGATCTTGCCATGTGTGGAACTGGCTTGGATCAGGAAGGGAACTACTAGACGTGGAAACAGTGCCAATAAAGGCAGCCTTCTTTAACTCACTGAGATCTGGCTCCCTTTCAGTTTTAGGGGTTGATGGCCACTGATCAACTGGCTGGTTCAGGAAGGCTGGTCCTGAGCTCCACTTATGAGGACCTGCCAACTCTGTTAGTGTAAGACCCCGGGTGATGTGGTCAGCAGGGTTGTTAATCGACTCAACATACCTCCATTCTGCCATTTCAGTGAGGGTCTGTATCTCTGCTACACGTGTTCCTACGAACACCTTATAGCGGCAAGACTCCGATGTCAGCCAGTACAACACAGTGGTGGAGTCAGACCAGAATGTAACCTTGTGAATAGGAATGGTCAACTCCGTTTGGATCACCTTGGCCAGCTGTGCACCAGTCAGCGCTGCACTCAGCTCCAATCGAGGCATAGAGAGACATTTCCTCGGGGCTACTCTAGACCTGGCCAAGACGAAAGCTACGGTTACCTGTCTTTGACTATCTGTGGTGCGCAAGTAGGCAACCGAACCATAAGCTCTTTCCGATGCATCACTGAAGATATGTAGCTCTCGGATGACAGAACTGTCGTCAGTGGAGGCAGAGGTGTATGCTCGAGGGAACTGCAACTGAAGGAGAGTCGGAAGTTCTCCTACCCAGGCAAACCACTGTTCTCTCAAATGTTGAGGTTCAATGGGGTCATCCCAACCAAGGTTATGCTTCCAAAGGTCTTGGACGAGAACCTTGGCTCGGGTAGTGAATGGGATGATAAACCCCAAAGGGTCATATTGACTCGCCAATGTCTTATACATATTCCTCATGGTAGGGGCAGCCGTCTCTGTAGAGCGTAAATTATACCCCAGAGTGTCGTTGATACAGTTCCACCGGAGACTAAGAGTGGGTTCTTGGAGGTCAGTGCTGCTTTGTGCCAACCAGCGCTCACTATTAGCAGACTTGGCATCTGTGGGAAGGTGTTGGATCACAGATGGTAGATTGCTTGCCCATTGCCTTATCTCAAATCCTCCCTCGGCGAGAAGCTGGCGTAGTCCATCCACAATTTCTCTTGCTTCATTCGCAGTTGGCGTGCTGTGAAGGCAGTTATCAACATAGAAAGAATGTTCCACTATGTTGACTATGTCAGCCATGTCGTCTTTGTGTCCTTCGGCATGATGTTGGAGGGCATAAATAGCACAACATGGGCTGCATGTAGTGCCAAACGGAAGTACCTGCCATTCGTATATATCAGGTTCCACCTCCCGACGCATCTCCCTCCACAGGAACCGCAGCACTGACCTGTCCCTAGGCAACAAGCGTACCTGATGGAACATTCCTTTGATGTCCCCACTGATAGCAACCGTGTGTTGGCGGAATCTCAGAAGGACACCCAGTAAGGAAGGTCCCAAAGTTGGCCCAGGCAGCCATCATTCAAGGATTGTCCCTGATGTTTAAAGGAACAGTTAAAGACAATCCTATCTTTACCGTTGTGATGCACCATATGGTGCGGGATGTACCAAGACTCTGTACCTTTGTTAGCTTCTTCTGGAGTGATCTTAGCCACATAACCAGCCACCTCCAACTTCTGGATCTCAGTACAGTAAGCTTTAGCCCTCTCAGGATCCCGTACCAGCCTACGCTCGGTGCTACGCAAACTGGGGAGCACGCTCTCTGCCTCTGCATGGAGTAAACTCATCGACGTTCGTCTCAGCAATGGTGTAGCGTAACGTTGAACACCATCCACGTTGACTCGGACTGTGGCATTTTGCAGCATTGTGTAAGCCTCTCGATCCTGTTTGGACCTGGTGACCATTTTCTCGTTATAAGGGAGGGTGTCCACCTGCCAGAGCCTTTCTACATGTCGGATTAGATCATCACGGGTTGGAACTGTCGAGATGTGAAGACACTGCTGATTCCCTCGTGATGGTTGCATTGGACTCATCGGACCCTGGAGAGACCATCCAAGTTGTGTGCAGACATCAATGGGTCCCCCAACTGGGCCTTTGCGTATGGGCTGGATTGGTGTCAGGAGGTGGGGATTATCTGACCCTATAAGGAGCAACGGCTTTACCTTATCCACAGGAGGCAGCGGCAGATCCTTCAGGTGTCGATAGGCATTCTGGAGAGCAGACACTGGGTAAGTGTGATCCGCTAGACACAGACCGGTTGCAGTGAATGCATTATGGATAGTGAACTTTATCATGGGCTTAGAAACTGAGGAAATCTCAAAAGATACAGATGACCCATCAAGTTCAGTGTGACACTGTTGAATCGTCTGTAGGGGAAGCAATTCCGGAGTGCCGGTTAACTTAATCTGCTGAAGTACCGGTTGGAGCACTATTGTTCTCTCTGACCCGTCATCGAGAACTGCATGGGTTTCCATAGTGTGCCGACCATTGTGGAGCAGGACTTTGACTACTTTCAACATTACCTTTGGAGAACGGTTAGGTCTATCAAGATAAATCCTGGTAGGTGGCAAGCTTACCATGAGTACAGCCCTGGAGGTGTCATTAATTGAGTCATGTAGAATGGTGAGATGTAACTCTTTACAGACTTTGCATGGACGCTTGAGGTTGCAGGCCTCTACTGCATGTGAACGACCACATCTCCAGCAGCGTTTCCCATCCTTAATCCAGGTGACGATTTGAGAAGTTGTTAACTTCTTGAACTGGTCACAAGAGTTGAGGTAATGGTCCATATTGTCACAATGGGGACAGTATGGCTTTGGCTTTGAACTGGGTTTCGGGTCAGCAGATTGATGAGGCCTTTTCCCACTCTTACTGGCCAGGAGAACTGGTGTAGGTCGTTCCCTTGCACAGGTGAATGGAAATGGAGCTTTACCATAAGACTTGGGTGAGTCACTCTGGAACAAGGTTGCAGCTCGGTTGGAGATGCCTTTTGCTTGAGACTTGATCTCTAGCCAGGTGGCCAAATCAGGAAGTGTATAAGTCTTGTCGGTACCTGTCTGGAGAATACCCCTGCTAAGGCAGTATTCGACAAACCCATCACGATAGGCAGATGGTAATTTACTTAGGAAACGATCCATGTGAGAACCACACATGAGCTCGTAACCGTTCTGGCCCTCAAGAGTCCTCAGCATGCCCACCAACGACTGAACGGATAATGCAAAGGAGTCAAAAGCGTTAGCATCACCCATTTTAAGTGGTGGAGTAGTCATGATAGCACCCATCTCCGACTGAACTAACTGTCTTGGCTGGCCATACTTATCTTGAAGCGCTTGCAGTGCAGCTGAATAAGGATGTGGATGGTACATATAGGCTTTAGCCAGCTGCTGAGCACTGGGAAGTTTCAAATGGCTAAGCAAGACATGATATTTGTACTGCTCACTGATATGGCTGTGAATGCTCAACAAATTGTCCAGTGCCAACTTTAACAAGGCAAAGTCACTCTCATTACCACTTTCGAACACCGACAACTTGGGTTGTGGGATGCCATAGGCTGATGCAAACAGTAGCTCTGTACCAGGGTATTCTAAATCCCCATTACGCGGAAAGGGCAAGAATGAAGGTGGTTGTATGTGGCTAGGAACAGGAGGTGGCACAGTTGAAGCCTGATAGCTGGTAACTGGAGGCTGCATCAGATGTGGGTGTGTTGTCACAGGGGGAATGGCTGTCTGCGGCACTGTATATGGCATTCTAGCTGGAGGCAGTGTTGCTGTGGCAGGTTGCTGTGACACTGCCGGCGTGCTTGTACTCCAGGGGTGTGCAGCAGTGGACATGACTGTGGCTCTTGAGTGAGGTTGGGGTACCGTATTTGATGTCAACAACACAGGACGAGCTGGCACAGTTGTAGGGGTAGTCTGGAATGAGCTGGTTGACGGGACAGCTTGTGAACTTCCAGATTCGGCTGTAAACTGCTGTGGTCTAACGGATGGCTGAGACACCCAAGAGTCATCAGGAATAATCTGTTCTGCTGAACAAATTTGCTTGGTTGATGTCACAGCTGGTGACTGAACAAAGGGCCTCTGAAGAGAGGATGATGGATGAGGTGGATTTAAGGCTGGACTGATATGTACAAACTGAAGTGGAGGCGTAAGGTTGTCCGGTGAGGCACAGGAGTTGTTTGACCAGATTCTTGACTAAGCATGGAGGATACGAGCTTCGCTACCTCAAGCTCAGTCTCTGCCTGTTGCAATTCACGCTGTCTTGCTAGATGCTTAGATAAGGCCTCCTTAGCTGTAAGAGCTTCCTCTTGAACACGCGGGGCTTCTTTAGCTTGTGCCTGTAGCCGCTGATATTCCACATCT